GGTTCTACGCGGTTGCTAAATTATTTCCTATCATATCTTCTAACGCTGCCGTCCCCAACTCTTTCAGAGTACGTCACGGGTGCTACGAGCCTAGGACAGGTCCTACTGGTCGGTAGCACAACACGAGTCTTTCACTTCGGATTTAAAAGAATCTACTCGCACTACTTGTGTGTCTGTACACTTGGCGATCTCTCTTAACCCTTTGTGCTTATCTCTGCATTCCCTTCAAATCCAGTATCTCTTTCGGGCTCTGTAGTTGTGAAGGAAAAGGGTGCTGAAAAAGTTGAACTTTAACATGGTGAAGGGGGCTTCAGAAGAGAATATTAGAATACCTGTAGCGAGAAATCATGTGCGCACCGTGACTGAATTCCGTAACTGGATTGCTGGACAGTGACGTGACAATCTAAATTTAGTACTAAGCAATGTGATTTCCAAATCCATCGGTTGATGATGGATACTATCTGACATAACGTACGCATCTTCACGTTTCCCTGGTCTACCCGTAGAGACTGTTGCAGTATGCCATCCTCAAAATCCCATCTGAACCTCCCAAAAATTGGATCGCTTGTCGTCACCGACCTTGCTGACGCCAAAGCAAAAAGGACCACAGAAAAAAGGGCGGGGAAGCATTCGAAGCTTCACGAGTCCTTTGATCACGGGATCGGGAGGGACTGTTCAACACCAAATGATGCCTCGTGCAAGAGTCGGTTCCAGAAGCATGTCCGGAGTTGGGGTCACGCAGTTGTGCAAGAATACCCGTGCCAAATAGAGGCCTACAGTATCGATGCACCAAATCGAGAGCCGTGGACGGAGCTGGGGTGTCGTCGAGACATGCCAGGCTGCGCGAGCACCATATTTGTCCGAGATGCGGTGACGATGATGTGGGTGATTACTATGGGTCCCAGCCTTAGTTTCGGGATGGCCCCTGATGCTGTGAGCCCATATCGAACCATCTCCGACAGGGAAGAGAGCTGCTTCTGAATCATCGTCAACGCTGGGGCTGAATCAACGATGAGATTTGTTTCACTGGAGCCCACCACCACCACGAGACTCTGCACTTCACATGGCATGTTGGTTTGGATAACTTTGCTTTGAATTTCAGTGAAGTGGTGTGTAAATGTGGCTTCATTGACTTAGTTACAAAAATACTTAGTTTTACGAAGGAAGGACTGATTATGTATTAAGAGACAACCAACTGATGTATGCATTAAAATATCCCCTAACCTGCTGGAGGTTCAATGCGACAGTACGTATTGCATTGACATTATTGTGATTAAATTTAAATAGCATTCAATGTGTGAATTTTTATAAATGAATATATATATATATATATATATATATACACACGCGCACACATATTGCAAAGCACAGTTAAAGATTTTGCATTAACACCGTTGTTCTGTTGCTAAAACACTACTTAATCAGCTTCCTGCTACTGTTCTTACTTGAATTGTGTTCAAGTAATTTTACAGAACACATTTTATCATGATATGAACTTGTTCCAGTTGAGAAAGTGAATTGTTCTTGACGACGATATATCTTTTATTGCTTCTATGTATTTATGCAGAAGCCTACATTATACAACTGTCAATACAACTAATTTGAATTGAAATTGGTGATTGGTGAAATATAATGAGGGAGGGGAAAAAAAATAAACAAATACAAAAAAACACAAAAAAACAAAAAACAGCATCTTCTATGAGTTCAGCTGATTGGATACAATCCGCTCAGATGATGTAAAGAAAATTGACTGTATCACATCAGATAATAGTTAACCTTTTCAAGTGTACCGTACCAGCTTACACAATATTTTACAAAAACTAAAACGTCAAACAATTAAATTTCAAATGATCCAACCCGATAAAAGAAAGAGAAAAAGGTAAGAGAATAAAACCATGATGGTGGTCAAGGTGAATTGGAAAAGAGTGGAAAGGCTGTGTGACTAAGTAGCTTTCCAGTTAGTTGGGGCTATCTCTTTAGGACGGACCCAGTGCACACACAGGAGTAATAGAGCAGCATTGTAGCAGCAGGACTAGTACCACTGCTCAGTACCACTTCTCCTGCCACTCATTTCCGCCAGTGATAGCAGTGATAGCAGCGATGCTAAAGGATAGCTGTGGCTGTAGTACTACCTGGATTCCCCACCCCATTACCGCATTCTCCCATTCCCAGCAGCAGCACCCCAGCAAATAGCTCTTCTGGTTCATAACCATAAACAAATCCTGATTGGACTCTTAACTCTTGGCGATCCAGCGAACTAACTCACTTTCTTACTCTGTCTGTGTCTGTCTGTCTGAGCAGCTTTGCTTTCTCCAAGCATGGAGGCGTCAGTGCATCGGCAATGGCATTGTGTGTAGACAGCGTCGTGCGTATGGGCGTGTGCATTGTGAGTTTTTGTTGTTATATTGGGGCAGCGTCTGAAGGTTACGAGCGTTGCTGCACTGAAGCTGTATGGTTCTATTCTACATGGCAGCGAGACAAAAGGAGAGAAACTCAGAGGGAGGTCGAGAGAGTGGTGGTGGTGAGAGCAATGAATTAGTCCATTCTTCGTAGCCAATGGGGCCAGCAAGCTTTGTGCCTGCTTCAACGACATCATAACTACCCTCAAGAACATGCATGACACCATACAAACCCTAATGAATCACCGTTGCTGCTGATGCTCTTATTCTTCTACTTCTGCTGCTGCTGCTGCTTTATTTTTGTTGTTATTATTAGGTCATGCATGGTGCATTCAGTCATTTGTGGAAAAAGCCTCCCTGGCCCCTGCAGCAGCATTGCAGTGAGCTCAAAGTTTGGCTTCTTCCAGCATTCGACTGCTCCCACTGTTCCGACCTTGAAGAAAAGAAATTTGAAAGCCCAAAAGCAAGTGCTGTGAACATTTCATCCGCCAAGAAAGACTCGCTTTTAAATTTTGTGTTCACAGCGATTCTATTTACGATGGTATGTAATATTCTGCAACATTTCACTCTTCTGCACATGCAACATCAAAATGCACCCAATGTTTTTAATGCTTTTGTAGAATAAAAGAGTAAAAGTCGATTTTTGTTGAAGTGTAAGTCTTCGAATTGACAGTTTTCCGTAGACTTTTGTTACATATAATCTCTTCCTTTAGAGAGTATTCTCACAGCAAATATAAATTTATTCAATCTTTATGATATACTTTTGGGAGAAATGTGAAGTGAGGATAGGTTACCTATGTTAGTTATTAAGTATAAAATGACTCCAATCACTTCCGAAAGGAACAAACAGCAATTAAATCACTTAATGCATACAGCAAGTTGATTAAAGAACATTTTGTAACCACTTTTTTTTTTCTGAATATTTAATTTTTAATAACATTCAAGTGGATATTGAGTATCACTTTTCACTTACAATATATACATATATACATGTACTGCAAAAAAATATTTGATTTGAAAAATCAACTACAGATTCAATTACACACAATCATAGAAGTCAGTGGCCCAAAAACTTTTTTAAACCTGTATGTAAATGAATAGCCCAGTATTAATGTTTTATGTAAACTTTAACAAAATAAATATAATCATTCATAAAGTTTTTCAATCACCTATTGTAACAATTGTGCAATTCACTCATTTATGTTTGATGACTTAAAAATATATGTAAACACTACACATGGATTAATTTTTGTAAAATCATTAAAAGATGTTATGACCATATTATTCCTAAATCTATACACTTTCTCTTTGTATGTATATACACACAAACACATAGAAGCATAAACTTATGCCAAGCATGTGGTTTTTTCTTTTTCTTTTTCTTTTTTTGTGGTTAGTATATATAATGAACATTATTAATATCACAACATTTTTTTGCTACTATCACAACAACCCCCACCTTCCACATGCTACCTTTGTTCAAATGAGTGGAGATTGTGGTGGTTGTAGCAAAAATTGTGGTGACATTAACAACACCTTCCAAATATACATAAATTTCAACTAGTTTCTTGCTTTGATGACACATTTTGTACATAGAAAAAGATATTAAAAAAGGCATTATATATAGGGAATTGTTAAAATGACCTAAGAATTTACTAAAACAACCCACCCATCCTAACCATCATCAAGAAATTCTCCACTACCAAATCTGCATTGATCAAAAACCAATAGCTTGGGTCACTTTAACAATTCCCTATATCTGTCTATCTATCCATCTATATATAATTGAAAAAAGAAAAGTTGCCATTCTCATTTCTACATTCTTAATTTCTCACATTAAACCAATCCTTCCCTCTTTAACACACACATACAAAATTTCCAACACTGAACCGTGACACAACCGCTTCAAAAACCACATAATTGAGCGCAGCGTAAAGTAAGTTTTTTTTTTTTTTTTTTTTTTTTTTGCCCTTCATCATTAAAGGAAAAGGGGGGGGGTTCTTTGTTGGAAGTCCCAGTTGTTTTGTCTGCTGATTTGTTTTATAGTGTGTGTATTTGATAGAAAATTCTACGTCCCGTTCTCTCAAAAACCATGGTCCAACTTCTGGTGCTAACAAGGAAGAAAGGGGAATGGGGGGAGTGGGATTCACTGGACCTCACCGACTTAAAGTGACGAGAGCACAAGCAGGGCCTTATTCTGGGATGGTCAGGAATCCAGAAAGGCTCATCTTCATTCATGGTGTTAGCCCCGCCCCGCCCCGCCCCGGCCCCGACCCATGGCAATGCGGCCCCGCAAGATCGTGATTTGAGCAGTGCAATCTGTCCCCGCATGCCTCACCGACCTCGTCGCACGACCAAAATCCGAACTTCGTCGCTACAGAACTGTTGGGTCTGTTGGGTCAGTGGGCCCACCGCCGCCGATCAACGACGTGGTCCGTTGCAGCGCACCCCACTCGTACCGTCAGTTCCTCCAGAGAGTCGCGCCAGCAGCCTGCTGCACTGGCAACGCTGAGCCAGGACGCTGAGCTCCGCGACGAATGTGATCGTCAGGAGGGGAGGTGGATGATTCAATGCCAGGATTGCGTATAAGGAGCCTCACTCTGACATGACTGAGCTTCACCCCGCCCCACCCACCATCATCCTCGCTGTGAACTGTCCACTCTTTCCCCCCTTTTCTCTGTCACCTGTTTCATTTCATATTAATAAGGACCTTCATCGTCGGTTGCGGCAACAACGGCTGTGGAGCTTTTCGCCCTTCTCCCCAACTTCCCTCGTCTTCGCTGTCTGCTCTCCGTGCCTCCCCTGTCCCTTCGCTGATTGTCACTGTCTAACGGTGGACGGTAACCCATAGCTGTGAGCTTCAGCGTCTCTCTGAGATATTTTCCTAAGTTTAGTGGTTCGGCTTTATCTTTTAAAATTCCTGAAGCTGCAGGAATTCCGTCGCGTTGTTTCTTTTCCTTGATGGATCTCAGAGGATGTTCTAGTTTTGGGGGAGGGTCGGTGCGGAGGGAAGGTTAAGACGGTGGGGAGGTTTGAGTCTGTAGGCAGTCGGATTTGTAGAGTTCTAGGTAGTGATCACAAGCGGCCAAGATGACGGCCACTTCGGCCTTCGTCACGTCCTTGCTCACATCTTTAATCATCTTCGTTGTTCTGCTTTTGTTATTTCTGGTTCTCTCACGTCGGCCTGGAAACTTTCACGTTTATTATCCTCTGCGTGCGCTGCGTGGGGAAGGTCCTTATGGGAAGAAGCGTGGGCTTTTCGCTTGGGCGAAAGAAGCCTTTCAAGCTACAGATGAAGACATTGTAGCTGCCGCTGGTCTTGATGCTGTAGTCTACATTCATCTGTTCACCACAGGTATGATTCTTTGGGTTTTTCGAAATGTTAGGTGTTCGTTAGCAGTGACTTAGTAAAATCCTCTTAGTTTGAAGTTTAGTATGTCATTGCTCGTAAGTGTTTCCACTTTCGCAGTGGTTTATGCAGTGTTATTAGGACGACGCCATGATTTAGCAGGATATTTTACTGCAGTCAACAGACCTTTTCCTGAAGGGATATTTTATTACGAATGTTGATAAAGTCTTTCTGAAATCTCAGCCGTAGAATGTCTTAAAAAATGTTTATGTTTAAGGAATGGTAGATATTATCAACGGTTCACCGGATCCTAGTTGTTTGTTCATCCTAAGCGTGTAGCTCCTGTGCAGCGTTGGATACTTGTCAGCTACAAGAGCTTATTTTTTACTCAGTGAAAAACCATTGATAGCTTTCTGCTAAACGAACTATCACGCTCAATAATCTTCTATGACATTGTTGCGACGGATCATGCATTGCCGGGACAAGAACATTTGGTGGATGCCGATGATTTTCTTTTTCTTCTCTACCATGGTTCTATGAGTTTTCCTTCTCTCAATTTGTTCTTATGTTATTCTCATTGATAATTTTTCTTGCAGCACTGGAGATCATAGTGCTCTCGGCAGCTTTCTGCATTCCTATTCTGATACCTATTGCAGCCACGAGTGACAACAACAAGTTTCTAGCAAGGACTCAAGCAAACTACACGTACTCAGATTTTGACAATCTCGGTATGGGCAACATCCGAGTAAGTATCACTCACGATCATTTTTCTGTCGGAGAGCATATTATGTAACTCGGACCGTGTTATTGTACTGCCTAGTTTTTGGGAATATCGTTTCAGCTCTGCGCTTTGCCATCGATTCACGTAATTGTTGCTAACTTGCATTTTTTTTGGTGGTGAGCAGGCGAGCAGCCCCAGATTATGGGCATTTCTCCTGGGAGTTTACTGGGTTTCTTTTGTCACCTACTACTCGTTGTGGAAAGCTTACAAACGGGTGTTTAATTTGCGAAACAATCTTCATTCTTCCGCTGTGGCGCGCCCGCAGCAGTATGCTGTACTGGTGCGGGACATTCCAGCCCCAGAGAAGCACCAGACACGCAGTGAGCAAGTGGAGTCCTTCTTCAGAAGAGTGCACCCCCATACGTACGAGCGTTGTATGGTCTTGCACGATTTCAGCCAGGTGAAAGATTCGCACATTTATCCTTACAGTGATGCATACATACATAGTTAGTTAGTCAGTCAGTCAGGCACTTAGTTTTATTTTTTCTGAATTTTTTTCAAGCTTAACAGGCAGTTCTATCAACAGGCTGAGAAGCTCTACGACGAGCGCGAGGCTGCTTCACGCAAGCTGCAGCATGCGCAGGCAGTCTTCGAGCTATCTAAGACTAAAGCTGGCAGCGATGGAGTTCGTCCTATGCACAAGACTGGCTTCCTGGGCTTGGTTGGCCCCAAGGTCGACTCCATCGACTATTGGACAACGAAGATAAATGAACTCACACCTAAGCTGGAGGAAGAACGAAGTCGAGTCGATGAAAAAGCGAAAAAAGATGCCGCTCTCGTTATCTTCAATGACCGACTAGCGGCTGCTGAGGCTGCTCAGGTAGAACCAATATAATTCACAAGTAGGTAGTGCATTGTTTGGGTTTTCTCATAAGTATATTAAAATGTATATTTGTCCCAGTTCATGGAAACTGACACTGCAACTGTGGCTTTTACAGTCCGTTCATGCACCATATGCTCTCGAATGGCAAGTGGAGCCAGCGCCTGAGCCCAGAGAGTGTATTTGGAACAATATGTATGTGCCTGCATGGCAGCGGTCCATCAGAAAGCCCACTGTCTACGTCATCACGTTCCTCACAATCGTTTTCTACATGATTCCTATAATAGCGATTTCGGCGATTACAACTCTTGAGAACCTGGAGAAGATTCTTCCGTTCATCAAGTCCATCACCCGAATCAGTGCTCTGAATACAGTGTTGCAAGTAAGTGCCTTGTGGAAGTTGACCACATCAAGAGTACTTTACTTGTGCTTTAATTCTCTCGTTGATGTTAGAAGTGAGATTGGGTGTTGTGTTACTAAAACTTCTCTAACCTCCTTTTATCTTTCAGGCTTTCTTGCCGCAACTCGCCCTTATTATCTTCATGGCACTACTGCCAAAGCTCCTCCTCGCTTTGTCCAAGACCGAAGGAATTCCCACCAAGAGTCACATTGAGCGAGCTGCAGCAGGAAAATATTATTATTTTATGGTATTCAATGTGTTCCTCGGAATTACCATTTTTGGTGCAGTGTTCTCAAGCTCAGCTGGATTCAAAGAACTGATTAACCAATCATCAATCTCTGTGAGCAAGGTCGTCGAATTGTTAGGTTCCAAGCTGCCTCCAGTTGCAACTTACTACATCACATTTGTTGCTCTCAAGTGAGTTCTTCTCTCATTATCCTTTTCTAAAAATACTAGTGCCTCGTTCCTGGCTTATCCTAACACCATTTGGATGGAAGGATCATTCGTTCAAGTCCCCGTGGAAATGAAATGGCTATGCCTCACACAACGAGTGGCTCCTTTTGTGCAGGTTCTTTGTTGGCTATGGTTTAGAAATTTCACGAATCGTTCCACTTATAATTTTCCACATCAAACGCAAGTATCTCTGCAAGACTGAGCGGGAACTGGAAGAGGCCTGGGCACCAGGACCCTTCTCTTATCACACCAGTGTTCCAGCAGACCTGCTGATCTTAATCGTGACTCTCTGCTACTCGGTCATTGCTCCCATGATTCTCGTCTTCTCATTCCTCTACTTCTTCATCGGATGGCTCGTGACGCGCAACTCGGTAAGATCCCCATCCCGCTTGCTGCCGAAAACGAATCTCGCGACACTGTGTAAAGCAATTGCATCTAGAAGGATGAGATGTCCAGATGACATTCTTACACTTACGTGCGTGGTCGGTGACTTGCAGGCTTTGAAAGTTCAGGTCCCTGAGTGGGAAAGCAACGGAAGGATGTGGCCTCACATCCACAACCGCTTCTTGGGTTCTTTGTTGGTCTCTCAAATCACAGCTTTGGGATATTTCGCGGTGCAGCAGTTTCCTTACACTGTATTCTTGATCTTCCTACCCATCCTGACCTTCGGCTTCTACGTATACTGCAAACGGAATTTTTATCCTTCCTTTGCAGTCGTCTCTCTGTATGTTGCAAGCCAACCAGTTAAGGAGACGGTCTCTACGAACACCATTGTGGAAGCATACACACCCACTTGCTTGCTGAACAGCGATGAGTACGAGGACGCGGAGTTTCAGGATGCTAGATCCGCCATGACCTCCAGGAGTAACTCTGGCATCACCAACTCAGGTGATAAGACCCCAACTGGTATTGTGTAGAATGGTTTCATGTATTTTCATACTGTCTCTACTGCCACTGCATTCTTTGACTGTTCAGCAGAATCTCTTCTATCCTAGCTCTTCCAAGACTAGGTACCGTCATGAATGTTCTTCGGGAGAATGGAGCCATCCGTTGAGTGTCGGTGGCAGGCGTCAGCTCCGATATTTGAGTGGGAATCGGAGTGATTAGTGTCGGTGGGGCCAGTGTATGGCAAGGTCAGGGCGAGTGAGGTCCTATTTGTAACAAAACTGCTCTTGTACAATGATTTGATTCTGAAATGAAATGAAAAGAAGTTGTGTTCTTTCAATTCTTTGTAATTGTGAGTAGTACCAGTAAAGCAGTGGAAGAGAATAACGGTTAAAAGCGAGCTCCAGTGTGCTTATTTCCATGTCAGATGTCAGTTCCCACCATTGCTGCATGTTGGTAGTATACTTGGGAAACTAGTATGTGACTAAATTGTATGTTACCCTCACTGTAACTTTAGGCAATTTTAAAATATTTCTGAGTAACTATGTTGTTGTCGTGTTGAGTTCCGTGCTGATTTTTAATCTGTGAATAACGTTGATTTGTTGTTGGAAAACGGATGTTAACTTTGAAGCTTTAGTGTCAACAAGTGTTTTAAAATCTATGTATTACATGGTTTAAAGACCAGCAACTACACGTGGAGAGTTGTATTGAGTTTATTAAAACAGTATTGTATGTTCTCCCAGTTAATTAATATCGTCCGTTGAAACAAAAAGTATAACTAATATTTATTAAATATAAAAGTGGTGTATTGAAGGGATGATGGAAATTATTTCCAATTATTGTCAACCACATGATATTGCCTTGCATGGAAATCATCCTTGTCATGTGATCTTGTTTTGCCGAATCACATATAGTCTTGTGGCACTATTAGCCATGTTACTTCTTTGAATTATCTGTATTATCTAAATAAAATCAATGAAAACCATTAACTACTAGGTATTTAAGGTTATTAGTTATGTACTATAGAACAAAATTGGTTCTTAAAATTTTGATTAATTATTGAGTATTGTTGAGTTAGGAAGAATTAATTGTTGAAAGATGCAAATCCATTATGTAACTTCAAAGTTTGGATTCAAAAGAACATAATATAACTTTGAATTGAAGTTCCAAATAAATAGTTTTATTAAGATATTAAAAATGTAAAACAATTATTGCCAACTACAAAATGAATGAGAGCTTCATTTCATGATGGAATATTGAATAAAGATTGGCTAGTATAAAAAATTTATATTAAACATTGATTTTTTTAATGGAAGTGGTGGTTTATTTTGGAAAATCTAGATAATTATAAAATAGTTTTTTTGTAAAAAATACAGTGATGATATACAAAACTTAAGATTTAAATTATATCTTAAAATGTTAACAATCCACATATTCTTTGTCTTTGTTGTCCAATAGCTCAACAATTGACAATTGATATGTTGACTATGTAGATTTTATAAGATATTTGGATTGTGTTTAATACCAATACTCCTACAATTTGTTTTTAAAAGTCAATAATATAAATATTTAAACTATACTTCTAAATTTCTCCTTCTAAATGCCTTGTTAATAATATGGGAAGCTAAAGATTCAAAAGATTGTAGGAAAAAGTATGTAAAATGATCAAAAATTAATTAGTTGTTATTTGTAAGATAAAGATACTTGAGTGGAAACAAACTAAGAATAACTTCTATTAAAAATGAACCACAAACAACAAAGTTGTCATTAAAGAGATTAAGATTCTCTTCCAAGAAGAGACCACTGAACTTGGAAATGTTTAGCAAGATATATTTTTGTGTCAATTCCATCATCTTCTTGGTTAGAAATTATATCAAATATTAGAATATGAAATAGCAAACAAAAAACACAAAGCATTGTTTCTAAAAAGGATTTCATAGTACATGTCCATAAATATCATCACAAACAAAAAAATACCTTTTGTCAATAACCATTATGTGAACCAAATTATGTAAACCAAATTAGATGTTGCTTACAAAATCTCTTGTACTTATATTTGCGTTAGCATTTGAAATCTTCTAATGGTCTTTTTAATCTAAATCACACCAACAAACAAATCTTTAGTTTCTTGAAATATCTTGTAATTTAGCTCGATTTTTGAGAGATTGTAAAACCTTCACAAATTGAGTTCATGCATATACTATTATATATCAACAAATGAGATTTTACATCTTTTGCAAGAGGACTACTCAATTCATACTTGATGAATCATATTGTCATGAAAAAATTAACACTTAGATAATGCTTAGAATTTCTTACAATACTTTGGTTAAGTATCATAGTAATATTAATACAAAAGATATTTATTTGCTTATGAACACTTCATGCAATTGCAAGTTCAAAAGGAAGAACAACCTATTTACTCTAGTACAAATGAGTTGTAGCTAGAAGAACAACTTTTCAAGGCCCCCTCCATTGTAGATGAGGAGGGATATAAGATAACATGTCTTAGCACTATTTATAAAGAAAACCACTAATTCAAGAATAATGTCTCAAATATTAGATACACTTGCTTAAGATAGACATAATCATGTGATGTTTATTGACATCACATGTTTTTTAATTGAGCACCATAAACTTTATTGTAAAAGGTCTAATTAACCAATCTACTACAACTTCCAAAATAATGTGCAATCCTCAACACCTAAGTGAATGGTCTATATCTTATATCTCAATTACACACTACATATGCACTTATTTGTATATAAATATTTGCTTATACAAATGCACTTACAATAAAAATAAAACTTTGTTTATTATTGAAATTATGTTGTAGAATGTTTATCATCAATATTTTATAGATTTTTTTGTGATTTTTGGACCTATTAATACTATTTTGTCTTCCACAAGCAATTCAAACTCTTATTCTCTCTCTCTCTCTCTCTCTCTCTCTATATATATATATATATATATATATATATATCATATCATTGCATAAAATATTTGAAAAAATGATTTATTAATATTCTTAATTGCTTGATTTTCTTATGAAACATTTCAAAATGTTAAGCACTAATATATATTCCAACTTATTTGTTGAAAACTAAAGCTGCATCCATAGAAATTATTTGCACTCAATCCAAAAATAAAAATAATAAAAAATTAAATATTTTTTCTTGCATGTAGTTTTTTTTATAATAATTATTTTTTTTGGATATATATATATATATATATATATATATATATATTTATCCATCCATCCAGACACTTATGATTTTGGGTTGTTCTTAAGTGCATGGATATTTTTTAGATTATAAATTTCTTTTTAAGTCAAAGGACATATTTTTTTGGTTTTTATTTCATTTTTATAAAAATCAATAATGTATTTGACTTTTCCTGTACTAATATAAAATTATCACTATTATTCATGAAATATGCTCTCACAATTTATTTATTTTTGATCTGAGCTTTTTTTGCAATTATCCAATCTTCCATAAAAGAATTTCAGTCCACAATATATATTAAAGATTTTGAAGCACCATTTTCCAATCATCTTTTTTGATCCACTCAAGAAGACTTTAACCAATACAAGTCAATTGCATCCCGGTTCATGTCCATAACTTTTATTTTCTAAATAGCAGAGTCAACAAACGAAATTATTCCTTGTAAACGTTTATCCTCCAAGTAGTCTCTTGACATTGCCAAGATTGTTTTTAACACTAACAATACATACAAAATTTAACTATTAGCTTCTAAGAAAAATTGAAAGATTATAGATACAATGCCGGAAAACTCAATCCAAGACAACATCACTTCAAAAGCAACCATTTGATCGACAAAACTCAAATAAGAATTAAGCATGCACAACTTGAATGGAACTAATCCAAGGGCCTATGACAATAAACAAACCTAAAACTCCACTCTTTCCTGCAACATGTGCACTGATTGCACAAAATCCTTAAAAAACATTCCCAGAAGTAAAGCATCAAACCGGAAAACGCCAAAAACAGCACCAGTGGTGTGAAAAATGAGAAAGAAAACAAAGCATTTACAGCAACAAGCCAAAGTCTTTCAAAGCACAGAACCCATTTGATCGATAAAAGTTGTGAAGCACATGAACAATTCAGTAAAATACCCACAAGACCTAGATGATCAGCAAACGAAAACAAACAGAAAGAGCTGATTTGCTTTACAATGCAACACAAGATTCAATCGCAGGATGGAACAGAAATGGTGCGCATTTGTTGTTTTTGTAGACAGGCATGGTACACAGAAAATTTGTGCGTATATTTGCAGGACGCTTGAAAACGCCTCCACGACCTGCCTCGTTTGTGGGTTTTCTACGTGGTGCGGAGAAGATGTGTTGCGAAGGCGCTATGATTGTGTAACCTAAGAAACTGTAGGTGAAGATTTGTGATCAATACGACATGAAGCCTTGACTGTAATGTACGCGTGAAGCCGTTATCAGTAGATCAGTAATCGAATTGGTAGTGCTTGTCGACGGTCTCAGAAACGTCCCAGGTGCAGCTCATGCCCTTCGGGAACACAACCAAGTCGCCAGCTCCGAATTCGACGAATTCAGATGATCCCTCCGGATAGACCTTCACCTTGCCTTGCAGGAGGAAGCACGTCTCCGTGGCGTCGTAAGTCCATGGGAACTTGCTGGGCGGGCATCCCCATCTACAAATCAGATTTGAGACACAAATTAGAGGCGCCTTGAGAGCTACTCCATAAGAGATTCTCGAGAAAAAAATAGAAGCGATTCTTAGTTTTCACGACCCTCTATTAAACATTCTAAGAATTTAAGCAGTTATCGAACCAGTGATCCACGCAGCAGCTGTGGTTAATTCTATAGAGAGGGTGTGACGAAACGCTAGGCATAGAGACCTCCAAGAGAATTCACATTTTGCAAATGAGACACAGAATCAGGACTGTCAGAGAAAAAAGAAAAAAACGAAATTCCTGGCAAGAGGTGTGGGTTTGGGACACACTTGGGCCACGAGCGAATGCCGAGCTCCGTGAGGCGAGATTCCGAAGGATCCCTCTCGATGCGAACGCCCAACTTCTCCTCAACCTTGGACCCCGCCGTGCCACTTTCTGCCATGGCTCTCACCACCCTGGAGTCTAGTCCCACCTTCCGCGGTAAACACAGTCTGCCTTGCTGGGTAAGCTGTAAGGCACTTAGTGACACGTTTCCGAGATGACGAAGATGCTTGTTGCCAGAATTCGAGACTGAAATGGGGGAGTTGATTTGCAGGCTTGGCACGATCACTCCACTGAGCGCCATAGTCGGACAAATGCAGCACCACAGAGATGCGGACTCTCCCCTACGACACTTCGTTAAGTTTGTGGTTGAATGTTTACGACAGTGAGAGCAAAAGTGGCTTCGACAAGTTATAGTTGAATTTGTCACCGAGGAGTCCCACAGTATTATATTTTCCACCTCCGACTCCAAAACACCCTCCAATGGTTTGTGTTTTTCTTAAGCGGCTCAACTATTTCCAGACTTTCTTTCTGCCGCTGTGGATAAACTTCACATTTTTTCTGCACCAGTCGTGTAATGTTCTCAATTCTCTTCACTGCTTCCACCCCTCAGAACGAGATTTTGGCACACGGCAATCCACCTCCGCATTCTCAAACTCAAATATGTGGCCTCCTGTAGGACGTCGATGCATCAGAATGACAGCTGAGATGGACGTCGTTCATCACACTTACAAAGCTTTTGATTCTGGTTGGAAGGTGTAATTCATCACCGAGTATATCCTGTCGAAAGCTCAGCCTGCCACGACGTCCACAAATCTACAGCCTTGTAGATCTACGACGACCTATCTACCAAGTAATGCTCTGAAAGGCTACCCATATCGCTTTCTCCACACGGGACACTGGACAAGGAGTGGCGATAGTTTCCAGGGTCTGTGAATGTGGGGGTTGGTCATGCTCTGCTCAGAGTCATCGAGAAGAGGCGGAGCTCTTGTCATGGGTTTCCGCACTGAGTCTGTACAATTGGCGTGATTAGTTTCGGAGCTCGAGAAGTTCAAGGTATATTCCTCAAATTTGACTTTGTTCTGAGTTTTGCTGTTTGTATTTGCGCAGCTTGAGAATCTGAAACTCCAAGCTCAATGTCCTCACTTGCTTGGATTTTATTCTGTTTCTCTAGGGGAATCAGGTTCTCGTTCGTCTCTTTGCGATTCCAGTAGAATTCTTTAGGGGACCTTTCTTTGAGCTGGATTTGGGTTAGAGGCAGGCTTTTATGAACTACTTAGGAAGTTGAAAACCCTTTTACGACTGATTGGAATGAAACATTTATGGTAGAGAGCTGTAGATGTAACAGTCGGAATGTTTTACAAGTTTTGTTAATCGTCAAGGCTTGCAAGTCTTTTCATATACAATCGAGCTGATTTATTGTAACCCTAAAGTATGAGTAGCTTGGCCCAGAAAATTTTGCAAATTATCAAGACCATTCTAGTCCAACAGTGTACACTTCACGGTTAAAAATAGGTCATCTCCCTGAAGTTAATCTGCAGCCTGGAGCAGTTTTGAACAAGTTCATCTGATTTTGTAGACACCTTTCACTCTGTAGTACTGTCGAAGACTTATCGCTCTTTATGCTTTAGGATTTTACTATCTTGCTTATTGTTCTTCCAGCTACGTGAAGTTTGGTTTGTGCTCTTGCCAGGCCAAGACTAGAATATGTAATCGTGTGGTCTTATCGTAACGAAGTGTACCTCTCGATTTGTTCCGTGTCTTTCTAGTTGATTCGATCCTAAAAATCCTGATCTGTGTGGGTATTTGGTCGCCGAAAGCACTCTTGATGAAGCTGGTTACCTGGCTGGATTTGAAATGAATGGCTGTTCCTTAATTCAATGATCTATGCCAGTGAACCTCTATGTGGGTCTTCATGTTGTGCAGAAATTCAGGCGTAACTCACATCCACTTGCTACTTCAGGCTGCTTTTCTGCTTCTTCTGGTGGACCTACTTTGGTTCCTGCTCTAATAGTATCAATGGCCGCGTCTTTATGCTGCACACCATCTCCTACTTTTCATACGCATGCAATGATACCCTCCCCATCCTCCTCCCTTCAAGCTTCTCTTAGCAATTCATTTATATGCAAAATTAGGACGAATTTTAGAGATCCTAATAAGGTTAAGTTCTACGCTATTCTAGGCAAGGATACCTCTGTACTTCCAAATCGCCACTGTGGAAATTGCTCTCGTTTAAGAATCCCCTGGTTACCTTCAGTAAAGACATCAAACAAGATTTCAAAGCATCGAGCGTTGAGAGATGATACACCAGCGAGTCCCCCGGTTGTAGAAGAAACGGAGGGCTTCGAAGCTGAAGAGGTTTTTACTGAAGTAGAAGATGCCTCGAGTAGCACCTCTCTAGCATCGCCATTAAAGGACTTCATAATCAAAGCTTGGGATCACAAGTACTTGCTTTCTCTTGCAGCTCTGTATGGAATTGCTCCGCCTTCGCAGGGGTGGGAAAACACTGGAAACTACATCCAATCGATAGCGGTCCTGGCTACTGTTATCACAGTGCATGAAGCTGGTCATTTTTTAGCTGCCAGGCTACAAGGAATACGTGTGACGAAATTTGCTATTGGGTTTGGCCCGACCCTCGCAAAGTGGCAGGGAAAGGAGGTGGAGTATTCTCTCAGGGCGATTCCCTTAGGAGGTTATGTAGCGTTTCCAGATGATGGTCCACAGTCTGGATTCAAACCCGACGACCCAGATTTGCTTATGAACCGGGGCATTCTAGCACGTGCCCTTGTTATATCCGCTGGTGTGATTGCCAACATTATATTTGCTTATACGATTCTTTTTGGTCAAGTGCTGACGGTGGGCTTAGTGGAGCAGGAATACATTCCTGGGGTTGTAATTCCTGAGATTATAGCTAGGTCTGCTGCGTCTCGGGGAGGGCTTGAGGCGGGGGATGTAGTGCTATCCGTGGCAGGAAAGTCCCTCGGGGCGACCGAGAGTTCAGTTTTCGACCTCGTAGATACCATCAAGGATAACCCGGGGCGACCTCTTGATTTTCAGATTCGACGTGAGGGCTTCCCCGACCTTCTAAGTATAAAAATCACTCCCGACTTAGCGTACGATGGAGCGGGAAAAATCGGGGTCCAGCTCTCGAAGAATGCAAGGCTTCGTAGAGTGAAGGCTGCTAACCTCGGCGAGGCGACTCAGAAAGCTTCCAACGAGTTCATGAGACTTACAACAACAGTCACCGAGGGGCTGAAACAAATATTTCTCAACTTCGCGCAAACAGCTGACAAGCTTTCTGGTCCTGTGGCAATTGTGGCAGTGGGTGCTGAAGTGGCGAAGTCCGACATCGCTGGGCTGTTTCAGTTTGCTGCAATTGTGAACATCAACCTTGCGGTTGTCAATACACTTCCCCTTCCTGCTCTGGATGGTGGGTACTTCTTGCTCATCGCTCTGGAGGCTCTTCGAGGAAAGAAGCTACCTGAGGGAGTTGAGAAAGGCATCATGTCGTCCGGAATTTTGCTCCTCCTTGCTGTCGGTATAGTGTTGATGGTGAGGGATACCCTCAACCTAGGAATAGTGCAGGAATTGCTAAGATAGTGTATTATGCATTGACCACATTGTTGTTGCAACTCAGCCTGTATGCTAGACTTATTCGCCTTACATTGTTGTGAATTTGTAATTTATACACATTGGAAGCAATTATACAATTTTGTAAGGCTAATTTATGCTCCTCATTATAACACACATGTGACAGAATCAACTTAGATCTTATAGGACTGCATTCTTCAATATAACAGAGAAGCCGATACTCTGCATTTCATTTGATCCAATACTTGCGTTTTGAAATTATGTGGGACTTGAAGGATATGTCGGAAGTAGGTCTCAAGGCAGTTCACAGAATTACTTTTGAAGTAGAAAGACTAGGTGCAGGAAACAAAAATCAATGGATCTCAGTAGGTTATGTGCCCAATTCCATGTGTGCTGTAAAATCGCATGCACTTTAAGACTTTGCCTGCAGTGTGGCAAGTTGACGAGCTCGATTATTTTGTATTAAAAAAATATCACATCACCATGCCGTGATCTTGTGTTGAACATTCAGCGTGGCTGAGTAAACTCTGGCATTCAACTTGGACACGTCTTCGAGGAGAAGTTTAGTAATGTGATCCACTATCTTCGCATCAAAGCCTGTGTCATGACAGAGTGGCGTCCAGCATTCGGTTTCTCATGACGGTGTACTGTCTAAGGTTGTGGTTGCTACTCTTACCGTTATAAACGAAGTTGACGGAGCGCAAAACCCTCCACCATTTGAGCTATACATCATATTGTCTCTCCAAGAATTCCCTGTGTCAAGTAAAACCTTTAATTCGGAGCTGCAAATGAGTTGTCAACTGCTGTGACAACACACAAACGCATTCCAGACGAAAACAGCAGTCAGATGTAGAATAAGAGATGCTTACAATTGGAAGGTTACAAAGTATCAAAAACTGATCAGAAGTAGTCTTTGAGTTGATTCACTTGAAAAATTTGATTTAGTGGTCTGTTTCACTTGGAAGATTGAATGCACTGATGCATGTTGGTTTTTGAGCGTCGTTATCTAGAGAAGTGATGATCTTGCGCTTACTTTAGATTCGGATTTCCACGTAAAATTGAGCATCGTTATAGCGAATGTTAGCAGGACACCCTTGTGTACAATACATTGAAATCTTCCTAATTCACATGGTTATTGGACAACAATCTACATAAATTTTACTCACAGCGAAGGACTAAAGCATGCCCTTCAGTGACGCGAGGACGTGATTCGTAATGTATGGATGACAACATTTGCTAAGGACTTCATCACAAATATATTCTCTTGTCTCCTGTGGAGTGCGAATTGGACGACCAATTATTAGGAAGATGGGCAAGAATTTGTCTACAGATTCCATTGATCCCTCAAAAGGCTTTTCACCGCGCAACCCTCCTTAGAGCTTGAGAAGTTTTCTGGGTGATCCTTGCATACCAGAATACGAGTATCATAAATTGTTGATGTTTCGAATTTCGAAGAATAAAATGCGGACCTCTAATGCTACTTAAGAGAAGAATCGGAGAGTCGGTCTGCCATAAGGCGCAATATCCAGATTGCGATGAAAAAAGAGGACAAAAGCCCAAGAAGTACTTGGGCTTTGATCAAACCCATCCATTCCTTTTCTGTAGAAATACAATTACCCGACAACTTGATTTCAGAATGAACCTAACTGAGCATAATGGCAACCAAAAGAGTTAACATCGTCTGAAGTGCCTAGGTATTGTAAATTTCAGTTTAGGGGACATAATTTACTTCAGGACTTCCCCATAAAGAGGCGCCACATGTCAACATTGACGATGCTGAAAGTTCAAGAGCTACAGAATTTGAAGGGATTAGTGTTAGAAAAAAGTATGAAAACTACAAAGTATCACTGCACATTTAGATAATTTACGATTGTGAAGGCTTTCGAGATTGTGACTTGGCAGGTCTGCTTTAACACAGCCATGAGTATGTTAACTTGCCGTTAAAATGCTTTTCTACTTCTTGGGTATTCTACGTACAAAATCGCCGAAGCCACTAGAATGCATAAAGAATATGCATCACTGGTTTGTCACTCTTTGTAATCTAAGGTTGATGGGTTGGACAAGAACCTGAACTGATACCCCTTCCCACGTAGTTGCATTTGTTTGCAGTTCCGCGAGGCTCTCTAATAGATATATGTGGTTTTCCGCTACAGTTGCGAAGACCGTGTGCTTACGAGGCCACTCGAAATGATCTGCTAAGCTGATGAAAAATTCGGGTCCTTCACCCACCCAACCTACCATGCCTCTTCTAATGACAGGTGTATACTCTTTAGGAATTCCCTTAAAAGCGACATGCTGAGCCTCCAGTGTGCCTTGGACAACCGCGTATGGCGGTCCGGTGCTACTCATCTGCGTAGAAATGAATTCATGGCATAAGTCTCGTCAAAAACTTGCACAAAGAAACATCAAACTTGAAACGACAGAAAAATTTAATCAATATTTATTAACAAGAACCAAGAGACACTTCAGAAAGCAAGGTGTGGTTCCCTCATATTAGGAAGCTCCCAAGGCTTCGTAATATAAACATTTGAATAGTTTTTCCACCAAGGTGTCAAGTTCTGTTACCTTGGGATTATGATAACCATTAGAGTCCCATAATTTACCACGTCCCTCCGCACGATAAAAGCGACAGCCTGTGCAGTGGGTCAATTTGACCAGCTCCAGTACGTGCAACACTGACTTTGGTGAACATTCAGGTAGCAACTGCATTCATTGTCCGACACTCTTATTGGAGTTAGAGAAAGTACAGAAAATATATCTAGGGGCCTGGCCTTTAGCTTCAAAGTTGCTGTGTTAACGCTCCTCCCGACTGCCCTCTGCATTTCAGGAATTTTTTATTTGGACAACCAAAACTTACCTCCAGGTGAATGACCTCTCCGCTCAAGGTGCCACTGTCGATTAAGATTCCCACGGTATTCTGGCACAAGGAGATAGTCGTATTATTTCATCATGTCTTTGAAGTGCATGTCAAATATGGTCCCATGTGCAGGTATGTCCAAAGAAAAAAGAAAGAAAAACAAACATACATTTACATGCCATATATGTTTGGCATTATACTAATTGAACAGTCTACAATCCAATCACGATGATTGTGATTAGTAAGCCCGAGATCTCTTAATCTCAAGGGCTCTTTAATCAACAAAGCCATTGCAAGCACATATTGTACTTCTAATATGCTTCATGAAGTTCTTTTAAATGCAAACGTGGTGTAGTAAGGTAAGAAATATCGTACAAGTCCAGAATGTCTTTCAAACACTAGTCCAGACGTCCAAGGATTTGATGGGCTCGAGTCATGAATTTCTGGATCAAAAGGATCCTTCTGCTTCTTCAACCAGCACTAAAACAATAGCACAAAACCAACAGGGCATCCTTCATCAGTCATCACAGACTGTTACGTGGAGTAGCCAACGGTCTTTGTGTATGAGCAGAAACCACCAATGAGAAAGAAACAGAACATAGATACTGCATTCCTACTAAAGGAAAGAGCATGTTTATTTCCATCATTTCCACACTCACAGGGAGGGAACGAAAATCAAAAGAGACGATCAGAAAATCTGTGATTGAACTGCGAAGTTCGCAATATTCGAGGATGTGAAAAATCCCCACTGCGGACTGAATCAGCGTTGGAAATTCACTTCAAGAAAAGGACAGCCACTTGTACCATAGACATGAAGCAACAGTGCCTTCGCGTCACAAAACAACTTACTAAGGAAAGCTAAAATAGGAAAAAATATTCGTGAATTCATAGGCTCTTCAAAGGATTCTGATGATGCTTTGGAACAGAAAGAAATAAAAACCTACACAATCGATAGAACTGACTACGAGACAAGACGCGTGGTAGTAACAGTGGAAGCAATTAATTTTTTTTAAAGTAAAGAACCCCATAAATACTTATGTTACTTTCTAAAAATGAGCAGGATAATGTGCGCAGATCACAAACCATCAAATACTTTTTCCTATTTTAGCTTACAAGGATTTGATGGTATCACAAGAAAGGTGAAAAAATACCATCAAATTATTGACCAACCAGCGAGAAGAAAGAAGGCAGGAATGTTGGCTGGTATATATTACCTGACGATAAAAATCCCCGCACTTTGCTTGATCAGCGCAATACACCCAAGAATTGCACCTCGGATGATTTCTACAAGCATCGCAGCACGCTTGTGTTGAATTGAGAAGAAAGTCACTGCCCCACTTCACGGCCTCACTCCACAGCTCCGTGTGCTCTAAACCCCTACAACATCCTGTGATATTCAGGTCCGCAGAATTCCATGCTACGCGATGTAGAGATATCTGTGAGGAATAGGGGTTGGGGAGAAGAGGGGACAAGAGGAAATAGGCCGCCAAGCAAGTGCCGGCAACCGTCAGCAGAGTAAGAAATAATTTACATGGTCTCCCACTTTCGTGCGGCCGCTTCGCCATAACTTTCCCTACTTTGATGCTCACAATTGGCTGAAAGGCAAGAATGCAATTTCACTGAAACAACGTGATCATTTGTCTATCCTGTCTCAGGCAGTTATGTCAATTGGCTCGTAGAAGTCATAGATTACTGGGACTCGTGACGATCTTCAACTGCACAAAGGAGAATCTGATTTGTGCAGTTGAAGATTCAACTTCACCTTAAAAAAATCAACTCTCCAATCCAATGCTTCGTGGAACTTGAGATGAGAGGTAGCAGATCGAGATTGATCAGCGCATCGTAATATTCGATCAAATAGAGCCAATCCGTTATACCCCAATTCTTGTTGCAATTTCACATATTCTACTGAAATCCATGAAATCGTTTTCAGAGCGGTGCCATCAAAGTAACTACGTTGCTCGCTGATTCGCAATTTTTGCACTGGCGTTCCTGAAAAACGTTTGTACGAAAATGTGAGTAATTATCGGTTAATTACGATAATCTATAAAATACGCGATAAATGAAGCTAAGAGTATAACGGGAAGAGGATCCCAGAGGTATGAGGAAATAAGAAACTCTAAAACGAAATTGGGAGAGCGATGCAGTCGCAGTTAGTTGGAGCAAGAGAGAGAATGAAAAAGTTTCCGCTCCAAACTGCGCCGCATATTATCAAAAATTAATAAATTCTCCTGAGAAATTAAGACTAAATATAATTAAATATTTGCACGCTTCTTTGTATATTTGTAACACACACACATACACGCACAAAATTCGAGCAACAATCGGGCAAACATGAAAATTCGACTCTGCGGCCACTAATTTTACCGACGAAAAAGTTCTACCACATACGACTTAGTTCCAAGCATTTCAGGAGAGATATTTTGCATCAACTGCATCACAACGCTCCTCTCATCAAACACTGTTCCCATTCTCCTAGATATCTGACTCAGGTACATAAACCCGAGGAAAAAAGCCAGTCTTGTAACACACAGTGACAAAGGAATATAACGCGGATTGCAAAAACAACGAAGGAGCGACAGTGGTGGGAGTCGTGGGCAACAGACAAGATGCGTCGTCCGTCAAAGTAGGCCTCCAATCCTCCCAACAATCGGAAAATAAAAGTAGGTTTCTGGATGTAGCATTCTGCTCATAACAAACCCGTGGTGGCACAGCAGATGACGACTACGCACAACAAGCCAGAAACTGTGGTGCCGAACGATGGAAACCCCTTCGACTTTTCACCCTGAGCACACCTTTGCTTAAAACCTTACTTGATAGACGTAGGTTATGGTAGCTGAAAATGGAAGCGATGTCGCCGGAAGGAAAAATTTGGTGAACTTACCGCAGAGTCACACAGAGCATGACTTCAGCACCATCATCACCGTTGGAAGATTAATGCACAAAGTCTGCATGACGCGTTCCACCGATTGCTCCGATTTGTCGATGCAGCCATGTTGACTTGTGCATAACCCGAGTCTGGACTGGTGGATCACTGACATTCGGTACTTATCCCGCCGAATACACACTACAATAATGGAAGGATACTGTTTGCTCACGTTTGAGTACTGGCGCTCTAACTTCAGGGCACTTTCGCAGCGCTCCGATGGAATCTCCCAAGGTTCGCTCATTGAAAGGCTTGAAAGACATCGAGTATCGGTAAAATTTATTCGTCGCGTCAACGACTGACCGAGAACATTCTTCTGCTTACTGGACGTGTTCATGTCATGAAATCTTCTTATCTTTCCCTCAAAGAACCTTCAATTTCCCCGCACCATGCGTAGCCACTAGTAGTTCCTAGAGAAGACTTCGGACACAAAGTGACAGAATAGTATGAAGATCAAAATGGTAGTCCAGTCTTCTCCGATGCACTTTCTGTCAGGCTTTTGGAAAAGTGGATCGATGAAATGAGAAGCAGAGAATCTATGTATTTCACTCACAGCCGCACTACTACAATCCTTCACAAGTCGGGCGATGATAGAACTGACCGTGGTAAGATTATTCGATTATGATCATCCAATCCCTGAAGTTCGGATGAACAGAGAACTGTTGCACCTGTGATCTCCTCGCAATGTCCTTTTCTTTTTAATTATTGCAATCATGTTACAACTGTGGGTATGCAACATGCGTATACACCAATACGGCGTTTTGATCGCGTGAAAGGAATCATCCCTAAATGAGAAGATCGTTTTTAGCCCATAGCCAGCGACTTCTCGCAGTAAACAAGGTATCAGAGTAGCAGCGTTAATTGATACTACTCGAGGTTCGATCCTGGCAACTTAATGCAACATGCCTGTTGTGTCCATTTCGATGAAATCGGCTTCACGCAGTAGTGCTTCATTTTTTACTTTCTTTCTGTCTTCTCTTGGGAGGCTCCCGATTCACCTTCACTGAGACTACGAATCGTTACGACACAAACCAGACATTTTGCCGGAGTTCACATTACTTCTCATTCCGTCGTGCTTGAATGATTCGATGAAACTTATTCACTTATCTGAGAAGACAAATTGAAGCTAATGCTTTGCAATGGAAAATTCAGCAGGTGGCACTCGCATTGACAGAGTCGTCGCGTCATCTTATCGATACCAACGATTATAATCCTCCAATCAATGATGCCGCCCAGCGATTTGGCCGATATCAACACAGAAATTAATATACAACAAGCTTTCATTTGAAGACGGGAATACTGACAATCTTACTCTTTCGATAGTTGTTCTAAAAGCTTCTCAAGCCTGTTCTACAGAGAATCAACTGATGCTGCGAAGCTCCCACGTTAAAAACTCCATTATTTTTTAAAAAATATGCTTGAAGGTGACTACTTATCCGAAAGTAAAGTGATTCTATGGGGTGCATAATCACCCCCGACCACAGCAAAGCATTGAAAAAATTCAAAACCAGGCACAAGCAACCTCGTGAATATGACGGCAAAAGAGACGCTGGACTAATGGTAGCAGTTACTCTAGATACAACTTCGAGCTAGTACTCTGCGTGAGGTGTGAGTACTAGTATTCCTCATAGATCGTTTCTGTGCATTTCTGCAACATCTTCGCAGGAAATTGCTCCTCCCTACTCGGAAATTCTTTTTCTGGTTTCAGCTGGAGATCCTCAAAAGCTCGTAGTAATGATAATAATTCAGACCCACCCTTGAAGTACTAAAGCGGAGTTAACAACATAAACTTAATCATGCTGCGCAACAGACATAAGAAAAAAGCGTGGTGTCATCCACTCCAGCATAAGTTTAAACAAGCTACCTACAATCAGGAGTTCCATCTTTTGGAGGAGGCTCTGTCATGATTTCGTTTGAGTGTTCAACATGTGACCACTTCACAATCACTCCTGCGTGGGAAAGATTAAAGAGCTGAAGAGCAAATTCATTCTTGTGCAAATCTAGAACCACACTTACTCCGAACATAACAGCTGTATGAACTCAGAAAAGATTTCAAACGCGCGCAAACTGTCAAAACTGACCACGAAACTCACAGTGCACCTCATAACGCCCATATGCCTAAAACAATACAACAATGATCTGACTGTAGACGTTCAAGTAAAGGAAATCGACAACCATTCTGCACCCTACAAAGAAAAGCAGAAGATATCATAATCGACGCAGAAGCGAGGGAAAAACCGACGTAAAGCCCAACTTCCAGTGATATTTTTCAGCCTGCCGCGAACCTCTTGGTCAAAGCTGCGCCTCATGACAGAACAAAATAGAAGAAAAAGAAAAAAGAAAAAAAAAAAGAGAAAAAAGAAAAAAAAGAAAAAACATGAAGTGTTGAATCACACGCTTTCAAAGTATGTCGCAACCTGGAGTCAGTACGAAAGTCGCTCTGTTCAACAGCGTATGTACTCATCAACGCAAGCGGTGAAATAATCCGCGTTCATGTCACTTAACGTTCTCAAGACTCGCTGATCTTGTATATGTAAAGTCAAACTTAACTGCGGGTTCTGTTCATCTCCAATCCTGACAATCATGTCAGAAGTGCCCGGGGTCTGTATTGCAAGATAGCCTCTCTGCAAGGAAAGAGATACAACCACCGAATGCTCACATCAGTTGCTTTCAAAAATCTGATTTTACAAGTACAACCGTAAGGTTACCTAAGGAAGCGCATAAATAGCAAGTAAAACCATTTTTATATGTATCGGATTGCGAACTCGTCCGACCTCTGGTATTAAGGTTCCCATATTCCTCTAAGATTACAATGCTGTTTATACAGCATACATATCCTTAGCAGAGATGGCAATACGGACCTGATGCTTAGGGCTACATATCAGAGGGTATAGTTTCGACGATGCATAGGCACCTATAGTTATAGGTGCAAGTTAGTGAGACAGAGACATTGTTTGGACCGACCTTCTGAATTAAAAATAGACTCGACACGTGAAAAAAGAGAATGTCAACGTACACTGGACTCTTGTTATGAGTGACACCGAAAAGGCGAGTTCTCAAAGAAACTTCCTCCTTACTTTCTAGCTAAGGGGCATGAGGAAAATTATTAAGAAATCAACGATTTCTAGCATACAACCAGAAGTTGTCAATACGAAAATACAATGTCCATGTGGTGAAATTACAAATAAATAGAAATCATTTGAATATTCTTCCAAAGCAAGCTGTTAAGTGGCTGACCATCCTACAAGTTACAAGTCAAATCGAAGAAGCCTTGAGGTCTTGTTGTGTGAAACCGCTCAATTAAATTCCAGTTAGAACTCTGCTTCACAGTTGTGTTAGGTGAGAAAGTCTGTCCACATATGAAGCTTGTACATTCAAATTAATGCACAACTTCCTCAACATTGAGTAAACATGACACTACAGTGCGAGGATGAAGTCCACGTCAAGGTAACTCTTGAGAGTCTCGGAACAATGTAGAAACTACAATGATGTGGTCGAACATCTATTCGAAAGACGCAATAACTCACAAAGGTAGCAGTAGACCTTCTGATCTGTTACCAGGCTCAATAGACAGTTGCAGAACTATTGTGTCATCGAGAAAGGCAACCTGACTGCAAGTGCGTGTGCTTCCACGTGATGAATGTCAACCATTGGCAGACAGTGAACCCGTAACAATGTCCTTGCCTTGCTAATGCTCAATGTAACCAATTAACGAACCAAATATTCCGCCACGAATTTCTGAAGAAAGGCAAATTATTCCATTACGGTGATCGAATATTCCAATTAAGCCTGACAATACTGGAAAATCTAAAAATTCATAAAGATCACTAATTGCGAATTTTCTACACAACAAGATGAACAAATATAAGGAAATATCGAGCACAAAGATACACGCAAAATGCCTTGTTGACTCATAATTGATCCCGAACCGTCAAGGTTTCTCCCTAGTATAACTGCATAAGCAAGGGCAACTGCAACGACCTGCCATTTCACAAATCACTCATATCTCATACGACTTACATAAATAGTTGCCTCAATGCCATTGATGTGCACCAAGTGAACAGGATTAAATGCAGAATATTCAGCAACACACTAACTAGTGCATTTCTTGCCACAATCATAACCATTTTGTTTGTTACTATACATGCATGTGAAGCATCACGCACAAAAGAAACTACGTTGGTGAGCTCCCAAGGATTCGTCTTGTTCTCACATCTTGCCAATAGCCTCGCATGCGCATCATGGGCTAGGTTGGGCACCAATCGACTCCACTGAACTAGCAAACCCGACTTTACGGACATCATACTGCCGACATACAATCGTGATCTTCTTAAAACCTTGATCACAGAAAATGCTAGAAACTTGATGACCATCAGACAGGAAACTTTCCCTCTGTTCAAACCATCTTGCAAAGAACTACAGTAATACAAAAACAACTCACACTTAAAAGAGCAACATGCAATCCACATAGGAAAGGTGAAATAAAGTCCAAGGTAACATCAATTTCTCGTGATGCATGAAAAGGATGAACGTGAGTGTTTTGATGTACGTGCGACGCAAGTGATTCACCAAGAATGTGACCATCTAGACCGGCCTGAAACGTTTCAGATGAGCAAAGTAGGCGGAGGATGTTGTGCAAAGAAATCCTTGCACAACAGAGAGTGAGATATCATAACACATCCTATCCGATATGGAATTTCTACAGAATTTAAATGCATTCAAAATAGCACAGCAGAATGGTCGCATTACAGAGCCATTAGTGAGTTTACAGATTGCGCAATTAGCCTCTAAAGGATACTCGCAAGTTATGACAAATTTGAGAGAAAATTGCAGGAACCTCTACTTCAGAGCAAAATCGCACTCAGGTGTAATGATGTTTAAAACCGTGAAGCCCATACGTCGTTTATCCCTTACCCCATTTCACAATTGTGCACGAATCAATCAAATCTGCCGCACATAAGTTAAAAACCTCACTCACAAAATACGTATCTAAGACTCTTGATTAGAATCAATAAACTCGTGGAAACTAACGGCAAATACAATCCTTCTCTGCTTTGAGCTTCATCAGTGACCTCTAACGCACCAAGTGTCATAGTTCAACACGAGATTCCCGCACTCTCTTTCGCCAAGCTCTTCGTGAAATCCCCACGCTTGTACTCCCAACCCTAAGCTCCGACGCACTCATCCGATCATCCTCTCATTCCGCCTCGAACTGCGCAAACAGGAAATATTCATATAATCATAACATAATATATTTATTGTATATGAATATATTGTATTATAATTATTAAATAAATGTATCGATTATGATTAAATGAATCCTGCGCACCATTTCCTCTTGGCGAAGCCGCTTGAATCACTCCACTCCCTCTCCGACGCTCCATTCCTGAACACTTCAGCTTCAAGCTGAACTCCGCCATCGGCACGACCCCTTGCAACCTTTCCGTTGTATAATGTGACCCTAGGTTAGAAATGCAAAAACATAACTAAATTGATGTGATTAACAAGTAATTCAAGGAATTAAACCTTGTCACTTAGGTTATTAATTTCTTTTAACAGAAGTGGATGTCTCAATAATATGGAGCTATTGGTACAATTACAATAATCTGTGGCTTTATAAAGTGACAATAATTGGATAAAAAATTGAGTAATATGTAACAACTTGATAAGTTAGTATAAGTTGTATGTTGTTTATTTGACTATATGAGAATTACAAGTTGTTTTGTAATAATGTATTGCCAATCATTCATAAAGATAAGCACATGATGTTTAAGAAAACTTGTACATAAATAGAATCCTTTTTTTGGTTTTTTATTTAACAATATAATAAACGAAATTTGAAATATGTCATTTATATTAATGTATCAATATACAGATATATAATCTTTTTTTACTATGTTTTACTTCTCTATTGCAAAAAACTCAATTAATTTTACACAAGTATAATATTTCTTGTGCTACATTTATCTTGTAATAAATCTCAGCATGTACCAATGACAAAAGCCAAAGATTGAGAACCTCCTATTGCAAAATTAAAGAATTAAACTTATTATAAAATTGCACTGACACAAATTATAATCGCATACATTCAAACTTACAGCTTTAACATACAAACATTTATTATTCATTTGATATCAAACACTTTCACGTATAGATTTGTAGAATACAAAAAATATATATCTATATATATAATATTTA